ACCGTTTGTTAGGGTTTCTGCTGCGCTGGGGACTAAACCCTGGATGGCAGGCGCATCCTCGCTATTAGTTTGAGTCAGGGTCCCGCTCAGCTGCAGGGCTGGGCTGCAACGCTGGACCCCGCCTAGGACCAGCCTTGCGAGGAGCTGGGAACACTGTAGCCGCCTGACACCGCCCCCGCAGGCCTGGGGCCCTGTCCTGGGAAGGAGGCGCAGGCTGGGCAGCCACAGGGCGGGACCGGAGAGGCGAGGCGGAGCACGGCGGGGCCCCGGCGGGCCGGCGGCCTAGCGTCTGTCCCGCAACTTCTGGTGCGCTTAATTAGCTCAGGACCGGGAACTCGCAGCCCAGCACGATCCGCAAGGTCAGATGTGCGCGAGCCAGGGCCTCGCGGTGCCCGGCCCTCCCGAGCACCTTTGCGAGACCGGCGCGCCCGTAACGGGGCGGACTTCCAGGGCAGCAAAAGCATTGACCCGCCAACGCTGCGGGGCGGAACTTCCCTGTCAAAGGCGCCCTTACGTGGGTGGAGCGAGCCGATCCTGACCAACTTCCGGCGCGCCTGCGCAGGCGCCGTCCGGAGTAGGCGGTGCTGGGCCGCGGAGGGCAGGGCTTGTGTGGGAGTGGGCCCGGCTCCCAGGGGCGGGGAAGGGCGGGGCCGTGGGAAGAGCCGAAGGAGCCCCCGCCGCGATCCGTGGCCCCACGACCCCTGGGCTCCCTAAGTGCTCCCCGCGTCCCCCCAAACGTCTTCCGACGACGCGTCCGTCGGCCTCCCAGGAGCCCCGGGAAGGAGACGCCCCTCCCCCACCCAGGGAGACTGGGGCGCGGACGTGCGGAGGAGGGTGCCGCCACCGTCCGGCAGGCCACTCGCGTGGGGACCCTGGTCGGGCCACGCCCCGGGTCGGCTCGGCTGTCTCCGCCCCTCCCGCCGCGCCCGGGTTCCGGTAGACCCTAGCCTGAGGATGGACTCTCCCCAGGCTCCAGGGAGAAGGAAGTGTCTACCCTCTGCCAGCAGGGCCGGGGCTCCTGTCCATTTGGCAACCAGAGGAGCCCTTGGTGGCATCGCCCTGCTGGCTGTCTCGGTCCCTTGCCCTTGAGGTTTGGGAGTTTTGATTCTCTGGGTTGATTCTCAGCTCTGGGTCCCAGCAGGGTCAGAAAGTCCAGGCTGGAACCTCCTTGCCTGGGGCACAGCTGTGGCCGTGTCCCCACAGACACTGCTGTGCCCGCTCCCTCCTGCTCTGCGCCTCTCCTGGGGACAGGCACAGGAGGACACGCAGGGCCAGGCCAAGGCTCAAGTTCTCTCCTGGGTGTCCCGTAGAGGCGCGGGGCCGGAGGTGACTCCTCCTGTCCCTGGGCTGTGCAGGGCAGGAGTCCTCCGCAGGGGCGCCAGTGCCAGGGAGCAGCACGCAGCCTAGAGCACCCCAGGGACTCCCCAGCGCCCCCACACCCCACAGCCCTCCTTGGTGAGGGCACGGCGCTGCCCTGCTTCCCTGCCATCCAGTGAGAGCTGCAGTGGGGGGAATCTGGGTCCCCGCCTGCCCCTCCCTCCAGTCACGAGCAGGCCTGTTTGTGGGGGACCTGCCCTATCCTGCGGGTCCCAGCAGGGCCAGCTCAAGTCTGCTTCCTCTGTGTACCCGCCACCAGGTGGCAGGCTGTGTCCCTTGAGCCCCGACAGCCTGGTCTCTTTGAGAGGGGCAGAGGGTAGCTCTGCGGCCTCTAAGGGTCCCAGCAAAACGTGACAGTGCCCAGTCTGGGTGTGACCCACACCTGCTGGGCTCCCCTGGCCCTTCCCAGGAGGGTATTTGACAATACCCTGGTGGCCTAGTCCCAGTCCTGCAGGCCTGGCATCAGGGGCAGGGAACCCTTTGTGGTAGGCTCAGTCCAGCTCGGCTCAGTGGGAGTCCCCACCGAGGCAGCCAGGCCATGAGCTGCCTCTGACCAGTGCCCACTCCCTCCCTCACAAGAAGGCCCGGGCCTCTGTGCCCCAGCTGGGGCCACCTCCGCTCCCTCCCACCAGGCCTGGCATCCACATTCACCTAGATGGAGGGGGAAGGGCATGCCCACCCAGGGGTGTGAGGCCGGCCCTGCCCTCCTGGCTGAGCCACCCAGCCCCTCTGCCCCTCTGCACCTATGCCCCTCTGTCCTGGCAGGGTGCTGGCAGGCTCTTGGACTTAGACTGGACTGTCTCGGCATGGGACCCTTGGGGTCTCGGGTGTGGGGAGGCCAGGTCAAGGGGGCACAGGACAGGACCCCCCTCTGGGACCAAAGGCCCTCTCTGCCACCTTTCCCGGTGACAGCTGCCTCCTTCCTGCCCGCTGCTCCCTGGCAGGGGACATCCCAAGGGTGACGCTCTGGGTGGCTCGGAGTGGCTCGTGAAGGTTCCTGTTGGCCGTCACCCCTGGGCAATGCCTGGCCCCTGGTGACAGCTCCCGGCCACTCCCCCACCCCACTTTGCACATCTCCAAGGGGGTGGGGAGTACCTGCACCTTCCCCTCTCCAATGGGGAGTACCTGCACCTCACGTGGCAGGGATGGTCCCTCGGCCAGGGTGTCAGCCCGAGCGTCCTGGCTCCTCAAGACACGCTCAAGCTCAGTATGTACCACACTCCCGGATCCCGGGAGAACCCATGTGTCCTCCACATGTCCTCGATGCCGCCCCCCCCCCCATATCCACACGGCCATGTCGCCTGCCTTTCCTGTCCCTGGGGATCTGGGTGAGGTAAGGGACAGGGCCGCTTCCTCCGCCCTAGATGGTCTCAGGGGACCCCTCCCAGCTGCCTGGCACCTGTAGTCCTCTGCAGAAAGGCGTGGTCCTCACCCTGCACCGCCCTCACTGAGCAGCTGCCCTCCTCCTGCCTCCCGCCTCCCAGGGCTGCTGCTCCCAGGGCTGTGACCAGGGACCCGGACCTAGGGTGCCAGGAGTTGCCCCAGCATGCCCTCTGCTAGGGGCCACCTAGGCCGGCCGGCCCCTTTCTACCCAGAGCCACCTGGGGTGTGCAGGGGAGGGGACCTGGCTGGGGACATCCCTGCTTCCGAGGTGCCACCCACTCGAGTGCTGCCTTCTTTGGATCATCCACCTCTGTGGTTTCAGGGTCCTGCCTGTGTGTCTCCTGCCCCGGGTGTCCTGTCAAGAAAGGGCACACACTGGTCTGGTAGGAGGGCGTGGCACTCGGGACCTGGGCCTTGCTGCCTGTCTTCACTGCTGCGGAAGAGCCTGCAGGTCTGCTGTGGGGAACCTGTCCCCTGCCAGGGTTCCTGGGGGACAGAGCTGCTGGGAAGTGAAAGACACTGTGGGCAAGGCTGTGGCTGCCTGCTGAGGGCTGAGCAGCGCTCAGCTGGGACCCTGTGCCCAGCCCCTGCCCCCAGTCCCTGAATGCCCACCTTTCTGGCCTTCCTCCACCCGCAGTCCACCAGCCTGTGGCATCCTGCTCAGACTGGGTGGGGAAGTCGTGTCCAGACTGGGAAGGGCCTGTTCCCGACAGCCCTGGTCCTGACACCCCTGTGCCAGCATAGCTTGGGCCGAGTGGCCTGTTGCCTCTCTCCAGGTGTCTCCAGGGCCTGTCCCTCTTCTCCTGTGGTGGACTCTGTCCTGGCCACTGCTGCCCCAGGTGTGCCCTTGACCCCTGGTGACATGGGAGAGGAGTCAGGTGTTGGGCACAGGCGCTCAACATACCATACCCCACCCGGGACTAAGGACCACGCCAACTTCCGCAATGCGCTATGTCCCTCTTTAAATTAGCCAACCCGTGCGCACTTCGTGATCACTCCGTACTCTGTGGCAACTCCTGATTGGCCACAGCTGGATATAGTAGCCGGAGCCTGCGTCCCATTCCCGCCCTGCTTCCTCGTGGCAGCCTGTGATTGGTCATGGCCAAATATATAAACCAGAGCCCGCGTGAATAAAGCAGCAGTTAACTGTCGTCCACAAGAGCGTCTCCTGTCTCCTGTTTCATTGGGGCTGCGCCGGTCAGTCAGGGACTCTTCCTGGGCTGCAACCCCTCCAGGACCCTGCCTGGTGGGGTGGCAGCAGGTGCCAGGCATCTGTGTGCTCTGGTGCCTGTGGTTGGTGTGAAAGGTACAAAGTTCCCATGTGCAGGCCCTGATTAAGTGAGCACTTGGGAAAAGCTGTGCCTCTGTTTCACCCAGATAGCTGGTGACACTTGACATGCCTGCAATGGAGTGCTAGAGTAGCTTTGTCCTCACTGCCCTCTCCCTGGCCAAAATGAGAGTCCCTAGAGCTATGGCTGGCACTGTTCTTCCTGCTCCCCATTCCATGGGCACCTCAGGGAGGTGGGGTGCAAACCCCGTGGAACCTGCATGTGAGGTGTGGTGTGGATATCTGCTGTTCTGTGTCTTGGGACAAGGTTCTGGTCTCCCTGTGGAGGGAAGTGGCATGCTGCTTGCAGAGGCCTCCCAGGAAGCCAGTACCTGATGTGTATGTCGGGTAACATTCAGGGTAGAAGACCCCAGGCTCATGTGGGAGCCTGCAGCATGGTGAAGTAAAAGGGGTACAAAGGGCTGTCATTCTGGTGGAGGAGGAAGACCAGGCATGACCATCATGATCACTTGGAGGTGTAACACTGTATCCGTAACACACAACTGCTGCCACCTGCTTCCCCAAAGGACTCTGCCTCTACTGGGGCAGGGGACCTCAGGCTAGCCCTATGTTCAACGAACTGGCTGCCAGCCTGCTCAAGAGGCCTCAAAGAGTCCTGATGACCTGGTCACCACCACCAGGCACCTGTGTTAGGGCCTGCCACCAGAACCATCTTTTTTTTTAAAAGGTTTTTAAGGCAGCCTCACTATACAGGTCATATTAGCCTCAAACTCATGGTGAACATCCTGCCTCAGCCTCCTGAGTACAGGGGTGCCAGCAGTATTCTGTAGCCTGTCCTTTTCCTAGATTGACGCCCAAAAAGTACAGAGCTGGGGCTGGGGTAAACAGGTGCTTTCTCTTGCCCTGCTGGGGCCCTGAGCAGACCCCAAGGAAACCACAGCCACTCACAGGAGAATGGAAGCAAAACTTTATTCTTCTTGGCCAGGAAGAGGAACTAGCAGGTGGTCGTAAGCAAGATGGCCACCCTCACCCCTCCCAGGACCAAGCAGACAGGCGGTGCCACCAAAGGGCTCCCTCTGCCCAAGTGAAAGCCAAGTGGCTCGAGGCTGGCCAGCAGGGAGGCAGGTGAGCACAGCACGGGAGACAGGGCGACTGCAGTGATGGGGGGAGGGGGCTGCTCGGGCGCAGGGCAGGTGTGGGGACGCTGCTGGCTCAGGGCACCAGGACACGGTAGGGGCTGCCGGGGATGTGCTCATCACCCCACTTGACCACCAGCATGTACTCCCCTTTGTCCTTGAGCAGGTAGGAGACGCTATAGAGGCGGCTGCCCACGTGCTTCACCAGGATCTCCTCACAGGGCGTCCTGGGGCCATGCACCCCCACCAGCAGCATGTTGTTGCCTGAGGTAGGTGGGGCCTCTGTGAGGGTGGGGCCCTCCCCCCTGCCAACACCCTCTACCCCAGCCCTGGCTCTTCTGGGGCTTGTTTTTGGTGACGGGGTCTCACTGTGAAGCTTAGGCTTCATAGTGAGAATTTCTAAGGATCCTCCTGCCTGTGCTTCCCCACTGTTGGGATGACAAGTATGTACCACCACACCCAGCTATGAGGCATTTTCTTGAGAGGTGGAGCAGCCAGGGAGACACACAGAGGAGTGGCTCTGAGTGACAGCCATACCTTCTGGGCAGTTTCTGGGCCTGCTGGCTGCTGGCCAGCCTGCCACCTACCTGCTTTGCTGCAGTCCACTGTGAAGCTGCTCTTCTGTCCCATGTAGGCTTTGCTCAGCCCGAGTCCCTTGGCCACCACTTTGCTGGCATCAGCAGGGCCCAGGGCTCCCTGCTGGGGTGCACTGGCGGCCTTGGTCAGAGAGTCCACAAATACTGATGACGTTTCATGGAGGCTGTGGTTGCTGACCAGACGGGGACCTGTGGGCAAAGCAGGTGGCACTGAGAGGTGGCCCGAGTGCCAGTTGCCAGGTGGGCCCAAGAGCCTATGGCTACACTCACCTGTGACCTTGGCCTTGAAGGGACTGCCCCCAATATGGTAGGGGCCGCCATACTTGATGGAGATGAGGTAGCTACCAGGTGCCATGGGAGTGTAGGTGACACGGTAGCCCTCAGGGCACTCCTGGCACTCCATCTTCACCTTGGAGGGGCCGTCTATAGTCACAGAGAGGGCACCGGCTCCTGCGTTGCTGGTGTTCACGATGAACTCGGCTGGGCTCCCTGGGGGCATGGGAGGTCAGGGAGTGCCTGCCCGGCCGCCTCCATGTTGCTGGCCTCCACACACAGGCTTGTCACCTCCATAGGCCTCCTGTGGTCACACAGGACACTGCACCCACAGACTTACCCGTGACACCACCTTCCAGGCCAGGTCCATAGGCGGACACCAAGCCCGGGTCCCCTCCGTGTCCAGGCTCCCCAACTCGGATCTTGAAGGGGCTTCCAGGGATGTGGGTGCCATTGAACTTGACGTCGATCAGATAGATGCCGTTCTCCCGGGGGATGAAGCGAACGGCATACTTGTCTGAGGGGCACAAAGACACACTGTGGGCCCAGACCCCCATCTGCAGGCAGCCAGTGGTACATGCGAAGGACAGCCCCAGTCTGGGTCCCCAAGTCTCCCAGCTGTTCCTGGCCAGCAGCACAAATGTCCTGAGGCTGGAGGCCTGAGGCTGGTACTCAACTGGGGCACAAGGCGACTACCGGCCCTAGAGACAGTGAGTGTGCCCACCTCAGTGGGTTCCCAGGATCGCTCTGTGCCCCAGCCGGCAGGGCCTCACTTCAGGTCATGCCGCTCGGGAGGGGCTGTCCCAGTCTGGGACACTGCGGCACTAAGCCTATTTGGCAAATGTCACACCTGGTCGCAGGGCCAGGGCTTCTTGGTACCTTCCTTTTGCACTCAGCCCGCTTCCAGCCACCTAGGTGGGGTCAGGGCAGATGGCTGGGGAGGGACAGGGCCTCACCTTGGTCAATCTCTGTGACATAGCACTCCTCCAGGGCTCCCGAGGGGCTGTGCACCTTGGCATCAATCGCCCCCTTGGCCCCATTCAGGCTGACTGCAAAAGAGGCTGGCTGGTTGACCTTTAGCCCTGACTCCTGGAAGCACAGCAGATGTGGTTAGATTGGGTGGCCAGGCCAGCAAGGCAGGGGTGCAGGGCCCCTGAAGTAGAGGCCATGGGGTCACACTTACCCATCTGGCATCCCACTTGGTTTAAAGAGGGAGAGCCATTGATCTGGGAGGGCAGCAAGCCACACACACACCCCGGCCCCACTCCCACACATTCCCTGAGGTCACACACATCCAGGTGGCAGCACCCAGCCCTGGCAGGCTGTCCCTCTTTAAACCTCAGCCCGGTGCTCAAGGGGCACGGGCTTCTGTTCAAAGCCTTTAGACCTGAGACACGAGAAAAACGCCACGAGGCTGGCAGGGCACTTCCTGCCAACCCCAAGCGTGGGCTGTGCCCGGCCAGAGCAGAAGCCCAGTGCCTGGAGCCATCCTGGGCAGGGCATAGGCTCTGGTCTGGCCGGGCCCAGAAGCCCCAAGCAGGCAGTTTCTCTCAGTGCCTCACCTGAAGACTAGAAACAGTGAGGCGGCGGGCGTCGCCAGACGGAGAAGCCACAGGCACCACGAAGGGGCTGTCAGGGATGTGCTCTTCATTGAACTTGACTGAGACCTCGTAGTCACCTGGGCAGGGAAAGAGAGCAAGGCTGGGCTAAGCACATGGGCAAGCTGTGTAAACCCGAAGTTCTGCCCGCTGGCCTCTTGGCTCTCCCATACACACACAGCAAGGGCAGTCCTGGGCCACCACAGGTACCCCAGCCCAACCCCAGCCCTGGCCAGCCCCAGCCCTCGCACCTGGCTCCTGGACCACATAGGCCACACCACAGGAGCCATCCTTGCGGTCCTCGAAAGAGATCTCAGCCTTGCTGGGGCCCTCAACAGCGATGGCCAGGCCCCCGGCACCAGCTTCTCGGGTCCAGATGCTGAATTCGGCTTGTGGGGGGAACAGAGTGTCCTTGCGGAGGGGCTGGCAGCCTGGCTGCGGCCTCTCCAAGCACAGCGGGAGCTTTCTAGCTGCCAGCTCCCTCCACCTCACCCTACCCCACCGCACCCCTCATACAGGCACAAGCACACTTACCTGGCACCCCGGCTTCAGCCCTCTCTAGGCCAGGGCCGCCTGCACGGACCTTGTGGGCTCCACCTTCCCCGAGGGGCCCCACAGTGAACTGGAAGGGGCTCCCAGGCACGTGCTGGCCCTTGTACTTCACGCTGACCGTGTGCATGCCCATCTCAGCAGGCACAAAGCGGATGCAGTATGTGTGGTTCTCCCCCTCCACGATCTCTGCCTCATGTGTCTTGCCCGACGGGCTGGTCACCTGTGCCATCATATCCTGGATGCTGATCTCTGCAGGTGGGGGTGGCCTGGTGAATGGGAGCCCTGGGCCCCACCCCTCCACACCTCCTGTGCTCCCCAGACCCTGTACCAGGGATCTTCAAGCTGAGATCACAGTGGCTGCCAACATTGGCCACTGACGGGGCTCGTCGCCTGCGTGTGATGCTCTCCTTCACCCGGCCCTCACCGGTCACCTTCACAGAGAAGGGGCTGCCTGCAGGGGGAACATGCCCAGTTATGGGCCACAGATGCAAGAGCGGGGCCCGGGGAGCAAGTCAGGCTGTGCGTATGCTCGCAGGGGGGTCCCGGGGCTGCAGTGCGCACCAGGCACGTGCTGGTCTGCGAACTTGATGTTGATGATGTAGTTGCCGGGTTCTGTGGGGCAGTAGGAAACTCTGCAAGTGCCGTCTTCCAGGTCCTCTGTGTTGATGTCCACCTTGCTGGGGCCCTCAATGGACAGGCTGAGCCCGCCATAACCTGCGGCACAGAAAACCCTGAGCAAGGGAGCCAAGCTTCACAGTGTCACTGCAACCAGCAGGCCGCCGCCACATACCTGCATCTCGGGTGTCAATGATGAACTCTGCAGGCTCGAAGGTGTGGCCCTCATGGAGGCCCTGGCCTGAGACTCGCACGCGGCTGGCATCCCCAATCTCCGACTGGCTGATCACCACAGGAATGGGGCTACTGGCCACATGCTGGCCGTTCTTCTTCACGTGCACCAGGTGCTCTCCTGTCTCCTTGGGCACGAAGGAGATCCCTGGGCACAGGCAGGGCAGTGAGCCAGGAAGGGGCTGCCTCCAGACCCCCAGCACAGGCCCTCTCATTCCATAGCCTCTTACCCACGTGGCCGTTGCGCAGCCGCTTTAGTAGACAGGGCTCCTCTCGACCTGAGGGGGGCACCACAGTGGCCGTCAGCAGGCTAAGGTCAGTCTCTGAGATGTTGATGGGGATGTCAGCAGCAGAGCCCACCTTTAGGTGGGACATGCGCATGGAGTCATCACCTGGGGGGAGAGGCATCTGTCAGGGTGCTTCCGGCTGCAGGAGACCAGGCCCACCCTAGTCTGCTTCTGTCACCACTCTTGGTGCCACCTACCTGTCACCCTGGCGGTGAAGGGGCTTCCCGGGATGTGCTGCTCATTGTACTTGACTAGGATGCTGTAGTCACCAGGCAATACAGGCAGGTAGGACACACTGCACGTCCCATCCTGGTTATCAGTGCAGCTAATTTCTGCTTTGGAGGGCCCCTCAATGGCAAGCGACAAGCCTCCTGGGGATAGTCACCAGTGAGGGTTGGGGCCATGCACAGGGAAGGACACATCTCCAACATGGTGACCCTTCCAGGAGGATGCCACTCACCTTCTCCTGCATCCTTGGTGTTAACCGTGAAGGTGGCAGGCTTGTTGACCACTCCGTGGGTGAGTCCAGGGCCATAGGCAGTGACATGGCCACAGTTGACATAATCTACGTAGAACTGCAGGGGACTCCCTGAGGCAGGAACAGGCCACAAGGAACATCAATCTCGCTCGTTTGTAGCCCAACCACAGTCACTCGGGGACATGGCAGTGTGAGGTGGTCTACCTGGGATGTGCATGTTGTCATAGCGGATGTCCATCTCATGTAAGCCAGCTTCACTGGGCGCATAGCGCACCGTCACGGTGCCATCCTTGTTGTCGGTGATAGAGGGCTGTGCCACCTTGCCTGAGGGCATCCGGACCTCCCCTGTGGGCAGCGAGTCTGGAGTCAGGGCAGCCCAGGGGTCACTTGGTGCTCTTTGAGCCCAGGGGTACAGCTTCACTTGGTGCTCTTCGAGCCCAGCCCACTCACCAGTGATTTCGCCCTTCTTGATGGTGAAAGGAATGACGAGGTCAAAGGGCCTCAGGCTGGTCACGTCCAGCCCGTTGACACCCACCAGGGGCCTCTCTGGGGCCTGCCATGAAGAGAACCTGGGTGAGGGGCTGGGCCTCCCAGCAGGGTAGGACCTTGGACATGTCCAGCCAGTTGGTCCCTTACCCAGGTCTGCTGCCCACCCGGGGGGTAGGTGTACTGCGGGGCCAGCTGCTGAGGCCGCAAAGAGGGCTGTGCTGCGGGCTGATCTCCAGCCAGAGCCTGCAAGGCAAAGCAAGAGCCAGGCAGGGTCATCACTGAGGGGTCTGAGAGGGACAGGCCAGGACCTGCCAAGCCCTGCCCAGTCATCCCCAGATCCTCCTTACTGTCACTTGGAAGGGACTGTTGGGCACATGCTCGCCACCAAAGCGCACGCAGATGACGTATTTGCCCGGCTGAGGAGCTGTGTAGAAGATGTCAAAGGTGCCATCCTCATTCTCTACCACGTCCACATCCACCTCTGAGCCATCCGGCGTGCACACAGTGCAGGTAACCTTGCCCTTGCCCGCAGCCTTTGTGTCCACAGTGATCACCGTCTCCTCACCGATCTGGATGGTGGGGCCGATGCCAGCACCTGGGAATGAAGGGTGGGTCCCCAGAGGGGGGCCAGTGGGTGAGCCCGACACCCAGGATGCACCCATCCATCCAGGCTCCTTACTGCGACCACCGAGCACAGCCAGGCCCCCCTCCCCACCCTGTCCTCCAAGCTGTATGGCGAGTGGTTTCTCAGAAGGCAGGAAATGCTCTCCTGGCCACCTCTAGCCCCACATGGGAGAGGTGCCCGGGAGGGAGGGGAAGGACAGGGCCATCCACAGTGAGCACCTCCTGCACCTCCCCAGCTGACTCGGCCTCAGTCAGCACCATGGCTGGGCCCACAGCTGCCCACGCCCCTGTGGCCTGGCCCCAGGCCCTGCTGCTGCGTGTGGACGCGGTGAGGCAGGAGCCTGCTGCAGCGTGGGGGATGTGCCACTTGCCCCCCACCCCCACCAGGCCCAAAGGTGCAACTGGGGTTTCCTGACCACTGAGAAGGTGCACTCGACCAGAGGGTCTGCATGGCCTAGCACAGGCGGGGGGTCAGAGGCGGCAGGTTAGCACTGGGCGCAAGCAGCATAGCAGCTTGGCAGAGTGGGCAGCAGCAGGCAGGCAGGGTAGGGGGAGCCCAAGCCGCAGCCACTACTCGGGTCGCAAAGGGAGAGCAGCCGAGCAGCCTCTAGGGCCCCAGAGTGCCCGAGGAAGGGGGGACAGTGACGTTATGACCTGGGCTCAGCCGTGGAGGCTCGGAGGGGCTGTGGGCTGTGAGGCCTGGCAGCAAGAGCACCCCACAGCCTGGCCTCTGCCAGAAAGCAGCCAGGAGGCCCCGTCCCACCAGATTCAGTTCAAGGAGCCCCTGGCCAGCCTGCCTGTCCCCAGTCCCCATGGCCGAGGGGCTGCCTAGCTTCAGACTCACTGCCTATGGCCCACACTGTCTAGCTAGTGGCTGGGCCCTGTCCCCATCTGGCCCTTGACCTGGCAGCAGGGCTCGGCCTCACCATTCTCGAGGTCCGCGCGCTCACTGAGCTCCCACCTGAAGGCCTACGGCCACAGACCAGGCCCAAGCTGACCCTCTGGCTGGCCTGAAAGTGTCCCAAGGCCCCAAGCTGTCCCCATTCCACACAGTGGGCAGCAAAACAGGTCACTGAGTCTGCCCCTTTCCACGTGCTCCCAAAGTCCTGGCATCAGAACTCTCCCAATCCCTAACAGCCACACAGATCCGATGGCCTGCTCTACGGAGCCACCCATCCCTGCCCTGAGCCCTAACCATTCTCTAACCCACTCCCAAGCTACCAGCCCAAGCGCCAGGCCTCCACCCCCTGAGGCCCTTGAGTAGCTATTGCCCCACACTGGTGCCCGGGGGCATCCCTGCCAGGGCAGAAGTCTGTGCCCAGTGAGGGGCTGCCTGAATAACGTCACTGCTGGAAGGCAGGGGGAGGAAGAGGGCTAGGGTGCACTTTGGGGCTCAGAGGCCAGGCCGGGCCCCACCATGCTGGCCACCCAAGCAGTCGCTGGCACTTCTGCACTACCAGCCAACCCCACCCGCTCATGCACTGCCCCAGCCCGGGACGCTCAGGCCCCTGGGAGGTGGGGACCTGGGAGGTGGGGACGGAGGTCTGCGGATCTGACCAGGGCCAGAGACTCCCACTGAGCTTACCCGTCCCCAGACCCCAAGGTCCCCAGCGGGGTGCACCTCACCCCAAAGCTCTCAGCTGCAACCCGAGTTCTGGATGGGGAATGAAGGCCCAGTGAGAGGAAGGGCCGGGCCCCGACCCTCCAGCCTGCAGCCTTGTGTGGCGCGGCCTCCCCGCTCAGTCCCTGCCTAGAGCTGCAGCTGGAACTGTCCTGGGCGGTAGCAACGAGGAGGAAAGGAAGTCGCCCCTCTGGGCGGGGGCATCGGGAATGGCCCCAGCAAGCAGCTTACCTAGCCCGTGACCTCCGATTGACACTGAGGTGAGAGGGCAGAGAGCAAGGAGAAAGGTCAGGTGAGTCACTCAGGGGGCGGCCCCCATCCCACACGCCGCCCAAGCAGCGAGCCCGTGCACACAGGCACACCCAAGCCCCGTGCCCAGCGCCGCAGAGGCCGCCGGCGGGCCACCTCACCTGTGACCGTGCACTTGCTGGCGTCCCCAGTGGGCACAGCGCGGACTCGGTACGGGGAGAAAGGGATCTCATCGCCGCCATACTTGATGAGGATGGTATAGCGGCCTGTCACATCTGGCACGTAGGCTACTGTGTATGTGCCATCATGGTTATCCTGGATGTGCGTCTTCTTGGGCTTGCCCTCAGGGTCCTGTACAGCAGAGCATGCAGATGGGAGGAGGATGGCCTGAGCACACCAGGCTGGGCCATCTCTGCTATGTGACACCTACCAGTGGCTGTCTACCCCAGCACTGTCCTTCAACTTCCCCGTGGGCAGAGTCCAGCTTTCCTTGCTGGGACAACAGGGACCATCGGGGAACTCACCCAAAGGCTTGATGGTCAGGGAAAGTGACCACGGGCTTTGGCAGCCTGCTCAGTCAGCAGTGAGCAAATGCGGCCTTGGGCAGACCCATCCCCATCATCAGCATCCTAGCATTCCCGTGGCAGCTTACTCTACGGCTGTAGTCCCCAAGGAGCCCAGGGACCCCATACTGGAAGCCACAGTGCAGCCTGGGAAAGCACCTTACCGTGATCTGAACGGCCAGCAGGCCTTCCCCAGCATCCTTGGCGTCAATGGTGAACTCCACAGGCAGGCTGGCAGGCACACCAGTGGTGTTGAGCCCAGGGCCGCTGGCTTTCACCTTGCTGGCATCGTGAGTGGGAAGCACCTTGACCTTGAAGGGACTGCGGGGCCAGGGTTAAGTAGGCAGGCAGCCACTCTGGACCCCTGGCCTCTGCCTCCCAGAATAGCAGCCCCATCTCACCTGCGAGGCACCTCTTCCTCCCCATACAGCACAGAGATACTATAGGGCCCTTCTCTGCTGGGCACATAGTTGACCGTCTGGGTACCGTCGGCATTGTCCACCACGTCCACAGGCTCCACTAGGCCTGGCCCAGTCCCAGCCCAGGGACAGAACATTAGCTGGGTCTCCAGGCACCCCACCACTCCCACCCCAATGGATGGCCAGGACGCGGCCCAGGCCTAGGCCATTTGGCGTCCTTGCCCACTGTACACTGTAGCATGAGATGTCTGGCCAGAGGCCCTGGGATCCTAGCCCATCCTCCCTTGTGCCACACTGGACTCCTCCAGGTCCCGTGTGCTTTGCTGTGGCCTAAGGCTCTTCTTCCAACTGCCCCGAGGGGTTCTCACCTCTCCCTGACACACTCACCTTTGGGGCCCTGAACTTTGACCTGCAGCGGGGCCACACCGGCCTTGCTGGTGTCCACCTGGAAGGACTGAGGGAGGTTAGCGCGGACCATGCCTGGGTTCAGGCCGGGCCCAGAGCACTTGACTTTGGATGCATCTGTCACGTCGTGCACAGGGACCTTGAAGGGGCTACCTGAAGGTGGGGCAGAGGGACAGCTGCATAAGACAGAGCAGGGCAGAGGCACAGCCTTAGCTCTGCACTGGTACCAGCCCTTACCTGGTACTTGGTGTCCGCCATAGGTGACATTCAGGCTGTAGGTCCCAGGCTCATAGGGAATGTACTCGACTGAGCAGCTGCCGTCCTTATTGTCCATGCAGGACATCTTGGCCTCTGAAGGGCCCTCAACAGCTAGGCCCAGCCCACCTGTGCCAGCTCCCCTGGTCCAAACAGACAGCTGATCATTCTCGGGGCTCCCAGCCCAATAGCTGCCAGTCTCCCTGGGGGTACCCTCTCACCTGGTCTCCACAGTGAACTTATTGGGCTTGTTGGTGGTGCCACTCTGGATGCCAGGCCCATGGACACGAACACGGGAGGGGTCACAACCCTCAGTCACTGGCACCTGGAAGGGACTACTGGGCACGGGGCTGCCATCATAGGTCACATCCACAGAATGGAGTCCTGGGGATGGAGCAAGGTGGGCCAGGCCAGTCAGAAGGAGTGTGGGCCACCCCTACTCCAGTTGCCCACCTGTTGGCAAGGGGCACCAGCACCTACCCTCCTCGTATGGTGTGTATTCCACTTTGTATGTGCCATCGCCAAGGTCTTGCACATAGGTCTCGGTCAGGTTGCCAGAGGGGTTGGCCACACGGGCCTTGACATGTGGTCCTCCAGTCTGTGTCAGTGCCCGGGCATCCACACTGAACTCAGTGGTGGCCTCACGGAAGACCCCTGGAGGGGGGACTGCAGTGAGGATGCTGAGCACTTGGGACCCACTGCCCATACACCTGTCATGTGCCTGGGGCGGCCCCTCACCTTGGCCCTCAATCCCAGGCCCATAACACTGGACGCCCGATGTGTCCACTGCAGGCTCTACCTGCAGCTTGCTGGGGAAGTTGGGCACAGGCTGGCCACCATACTTGATGGTGACAGTGTAAGCCCCAGGGCAGAGAGGAATGTAGGTGATGGTGTGCGTGCCGTCACCGTGGTCTTGTATGTACACTTCGGCTGGCAGACCAGCCTCTGAGCAGATCTCGATGGTCAGCTCGGCACTGCCTGCACTCGAGCAGTCTACCTGGAACTGCCCAACCTCCCCAGCTGTGGCACGCTCCAGTCCGGGGCCTGAGCACTTGACCTTGGACGCATCAAAGCAGGGCACCACGTGGGCTTTGAACGGCGAGCCAGGGATGTGGGTGTCAGCAAACAAAATGTTGATGTTGTAGTCCCCAGGCTCGGTGGGCACGTAGGACACAGAACAGGTGCCATCGCCGTTGTCCAGGCACTCGAGCTGGGCCTCACAGGGGCCTTCCACTGTCAGGCCCAGGCCTCCTGTGCCCGCACCCTTGGTGTCGATGGTGAAGCGCGCAGGGGAGCCTGTGCTGCCGCCCTGCAGCCCCGGTCCAAATGCTTTCACCTGAGGAGGGGGCAGGTGTCAACGAAGCCCACCCTCATCCCCTCCTCCCCCCAGGTCCCATCACCCATCTCTCCTAAAGACAAACGTGGGAGAGTATGGGCCAAGAAAAATGGGGTGCCCCACAAGGCCCAGGGCCTCCAAAGCCAGTTACCTTGCTAGGCTTGGTGGGAGCCACAGCCTCCACGGGAAAGGGGCTGCCAGGCACGGGTACACCGTCATAAGTCACCTCCACCTCGTAGGGGCCCTCCTCTCGGGGCACGAAGCGCACCACGCTGTTGTCAGCACCAAGGCCCGGCTCCACCTTGCAGGGCACTGCTGTGCCTGAGGGGCCCACAATCTTGGATGCCACTTTGCCTTGACCCCCTGCCCCCTTCGACTTGACTGTGAATTCCTGGTCTCTGCCAACGTCCACTTCTGTAGAGGAGATGGTAGGGGAAGAAGAGAAGGTGACACCTGGCACAGGCAGCCTCCAGGTAAGGCCCTGGGCAGGACTGAGTCCCTTGGCTACTTACTCTCTCCCAGACCAGACACCTTGACTTTAGCGAGGTCCAGGCTCGGAGACACCCCCACTGAGAAGGGGCTCTTAGGGATGGGATCCCCTCCATAAGTGACGTTGACACCGACTGGGCCCTGGACAGTGCAGAGGGGGAGAGGTTGAGAGACCCCAGCTCTGCACCCCAGCACCCACTGCACCCCACCCTGGGGGCCCCAGGTAGTACCTGCTGCACCGGGGTGTACTTGACCGTGTAGGTGTTATCATGGTGGTCAATGATGTCCATGTCACGCACTGCATCGCCCTTGGCCGGCCCGGAGAACTGGACATCCAGCTTGCCTTTCCCGGCGGCTTTCGCGTTCACCGTGAAGTGGGTAGGCTTGGCCAGCTCAACCCCTGGGTGATGTGGGGACCGGCGTAAGAGGCCGCTCGGCTGCACCCACCTGGAGTCACCCCACCTCCCCCCAAGCTCCAAGTCCCTACCGCTTCGACTGAGGCCAGGGCCCTCTGCCTTCACCTTGCTGGCGTCATGGGAGGGCTCCACCTTGACACGGATGGGGCTGGTGGGTGTGGCCTGGCAGCGGGAAGAGAAGAGTGAGGGGGCAGCACGGACACCCAGCTGCCCAGGGCATGGGAGCAGTGCCACCCACCTGGTCTGCAAAGAGGACCATGATGGTGTAACTGCCAGCGCCACGAGGTGTGTACTTGACCGTAAAAGTGTCATTGTCATTGCGGATGATGTCAAAGTCAATGTCGGCCTCGGCAGGACCCACCACTCCAGGGGCGCACTTGATCCCAATGCTGACGTCACCTATGAGGGAACAGGAGCAGAACATGGGACTCCAGGGGACCCCCACCTACCTGCTTGCCCAACACTCCCCACTGGCTGGTCCTTACCCTGGCCGGCCTCGGCACAGTCCACGGTGAAGTAGGTGGGCTCGTGGGCCTTCAGCCCCGTCTTGGCCACTCCTGGCCCATACACCTTGACCTTGTTTGGATGGCTACCAGCTCCCACATTCACCTGCAAGGACAGAAGCAGGTGCAGGGCATGAGCAGTGCCCTTGGGCACCACATGACAATAAAACCCGAGGCTCGCAGGGGCACGATTCACACCAGCCTCAGATTCAAACTCCCATGGGTCCTTGCACACTCAGGAAGTTCACAGCCTTAAGGAGGAGGCCGCATCTCTACACATAAAGGAAGTGGATCAGTGGCTGCCAGGATCTGGGAGAGATGAGAGTCAGGAAAAGTTTCTTTGGGAGCAATGAAAACATCCTAAATTTACATTGTGGTGATGGCTGCACACCCTCCCTATCCTAAAAGCTACTACTTGAGACTGGGGGTAGTGGCACATGGCTGTGAGCCCAGCACTTGGGAAGCTAAGGCACAAAGATCTGCCACAAATCTGAAGGAAGCCTAGGCTCCATAATGAGTTCAAGGCCATCCTGAACTACATAGTCCCTGTCTCAAAAAACAAAAAAGCAGGATAGATATGATACACCTGTCATCCCAAAGCTCAGGAGGCTGAGGCAGGACTGCAGTGAATGAATTCAAGATGAGCCTGCACTGCAAGCAAGACTCTATCAAGAAACCAAACCGGGGTGGGGGGCCGCTGGGGATTTAGCTCAGCTGCATAAGCGCCTGTCTTGCAAGCAGGCAGTTGTGAGTTCGATCCCTGGTACTGATAAAAAGGAAAAAGACAAAAAAAAAAAAAAAAAAAGAAACCAAACCAGCCAGGTGTGGTGGTGCACTCCTGTGATCCCAGCACTCAGGAGGCTGAGACAGGAGGATCACTGCAAGTTTGAGACCAGCCTGGGCTACAAAGTGAATTCAAGGCCAGCCTGAACTGCATAGCCAGACCCTGTCTCAAAAACAGACGAAAAAGAAAGAAATAATAGCAAAGCAATCAACAACAGTCACAGAGACAAATCAAGGGCTCTGAGGTGCCTTGCTAAGGCCTGTGACGAGGCTCACCCGGAAGGGGCTGTTGGGGATGCTGACACCGCCCCATGACACCATGGCAGTGTGCTTTACGGGCTTCCTGGGCACATACGAGCAGCTGTAAGTGCCGTTGCCATTGTCCTTGACTGACGCCTCCACAGGGCAGCCCTCATTGTCCTGCAAGGTAGGCAAGAGTAGGCCGCAGTCAGTCAGTGCCCAGGCCTGCAGCCCACCTGTTGTCCCCTGGATGGGCAGCATCCCACCTGGACTTGGACACGGAGTGGGGCCTTCCCACCGAGCTTGGCATCCACCGTGAACTCCGCAGGCTTGTTGACAGCCACACCAGTCTTTTCCAGTCCAGGCCCTCGGGCTTTCACCTGGTAAGAGACCACCAGCCATCAGGTGTCACATGCTGGGTACAGCACCTATACCCAAGAGTGGCGGGAGCCAGGCCCGGGAACTCCAGCCAAGCCCCTTACCCGGTCTGGGTAGAAATCCTGGGGTGCTTCTCGGATGTCGGCCATGAAGGGACTGAGGCGGATGTCCTCGCTGTTACACAGCACATGCACGGCATACTCACCCGGCTCCTGGGGCCAGTAGCGTACATCACAGGAGCCATCACCCTTGTCGTCACATTCGATCTTGGCCTGTGATGGCCCCTCCACCGAGAACCCTGCAACAACCCCAGCCTCATCTGTGTCCTGCAGGTTCACCACTCTCTGTCCCCATCCCCAGTGCAAACACAGATGCCACCAACTCACCTAGGGTGCCCACGTCGTCCCCGATGGCCTCTACCACGAAATCAGCTGACTTGCCAACAACGCCACCCTCCAGCCCGGGACCCCAGGCCCGCACCTTCTGGTTGCCACACTCGGTCCCCACCTTCACCTCGAAGGGACTGCAAATTGGGGTGCCACATGGAGGTGCTGAGAGGCGCTGCCCTGCACCCAGCAGCACCTCTTCTGCAGGGACATGGGGCTGGATGCCAGTAGTCTCACCTGCGCCCAATGTTCTGGCCACCCCACGTGATGGTTACAGTGTACATCCCAGGGACGCTGGGGTAGTACTCAAAGCCATACACTCCGTCGCCCAGGTCCTTCTGCTTCACACGCTCCTCTCCCTCTGTGGGACAGCAAAGGCTCAGGCCCGCTCAGCAGCACATGAGGCCACTGCTGCCCAGCCCTGATGACGGGTCCCACTTACTGGGGCCTTTCACAGTGACTTTGAGCTCCCCACTGCCAGCTCCCTTTGTGTACACCTTGAAATCCGCTGTCTCCTTGACCCGCACACCCTTGGGCTGCAGGCCCCGGCCAACAGCACGGCAGGCTGCTGGGTTGCAGGCTGTGGGCAGAACGACCAATAAGCCACCAAGGCTGGCAGGAGGACCCCTCCCTGGCCTCCCACACAACCAGGGTGTCGGAACCCTAGGGTCCTCAGGGCTTGCCCGATGGGCTGCAAGGTACATGCAGGAGAGAGGGGTAATGGGCTGGGCCCCCACCCACCCAAGGAAGAAAAGGAGCCAAGTACCGTGGGCACGGTGGGCAGAGCAGAGAGCAGCAGGTTTCTAGACAGCTGGAGCGAGTTCTTCCGAAGGAAAAGCATGGAGAGAGAAGGACAGAAGAGGAGCAGGAGAAGGAAGGAGCGCCCCAGCAGAGAGGAAAGACAGCGAAAGCCCAGACAGTATCGCTTGAGTGTGGGGCTGGGCTCCCATCCAGCAGAGGCCCAGGCTGCAGCACCACGGCAGGCAGGGCAGTCAGGGCCTGGCCTACCTTGGCCGACAGTGACAGTGTAGGGACTGCGAGGGATGGGCACCCCGGCGAAAGTGATGTGCACTAAATGGGTGCCCTCCATGGTGGGCTGGTAGGTGCAGCGATATGTGCTGTCCCCTCGGGCCTCCAGTTGAGTCTCCACTGTGCCTTTCTGTCCCGTAGGGTCCTGGATCATGACTTCCACCTCCCCTATGCCAGCTCCTGCCATAGGACACAGGTTCAGGGCCCAGGCTCCACACAGCTCTCCAGGGCTGTGCCCTGCCTCGCACAGCCACTTACCAGCCGTGAAGATCTCAAAGTAAGTGGTCTTGTTGGCGATGTTGCCGCTGGGCTCCAAGCCAGGGCCCTGGGCAGTCACCTTGCTGGCATCACCCTGTGACTTGTCCACATACACCTCAAAGGGGCTCTTGGCAATATGCTGGCCAGCAAAGAGCACGGTCACCTGTCCCCAGAAGAAGCAGGCCGTGAGAGGAGGGCAGGGGCCCTCTGGGCCCTGCCTGGGGTTACCAACCTGCCTATCAGCTGAGGGCTCACCTTATGAGTCCCCGTCACTTCGGGGACATACCAGACAGAAAAGGTGCGGTTCTTGTCATTATTGGCGGTCACCTTTGCCTGCAGAGGAAAGAGCCTTTGCTCAGAGTGGCTCATCTGGAGCGGCCAAGCAGGCCCCGCCCTGCCAGCAGGTGACCCTACCTCCTCCTGGTGTCCAGCTGGGTCCTCCACATACACCAGCACCTCCCCCTGGCCAGCACTGCGGGTCTCCACAGTGAACTCCGCCCGCTTCTTCACCATGTTGCCGGTGGGCTCAATGCCTGGTAGGGGGGCCAGCAAGCAGAACACTGAGGCAGGCGGAGCACCCAGGCCTCTGCAGGCTCAGCACCCTTCCCCAGGCCCCCGGCCAGGCTGGGTTCTGTCAGCACAAATGCCAACATCGGAGCCTGGCTGGAGCCCAGTGGCCTGGACAGGCCTGTGCCTGCCTCCTGGAATGCTCAGCATGTGCGCTGCTGCCTGAGTTGCCCAGTCCCATGCCTGAGCCTTGTTCCTGCATGATCTGGGCCCTGCAGCTTCCCATCCATTATGCGTTTTGCCTTTTTATCCCCCTGAAATAGATTTGGTCCTCCCACCTCAGCCACCATGCCCAGCTCCTTGGCCATCACGGGAAAGCAGCCCCACCATGTCCTCCCACCCCAAGGCATCCCACAGGACTGCGCACCCTGAGGAACTTATCAGTGCACTCTTGGAAGAGACCCAGTCCGGACGGGCCCTAAACCCTTCCTGTCTGACTTGAGTGGCAGGCAACATCTGGTGCACTAGCCACCACAGGGCCCAAGTACAGAGCGAACACTGTCCCTTGGGAAGGACATCAGCATACGGGAGCATCCCAGCCAGCCCGGTGCCCTCACCTGGACCATAGGCTCGCGCTTTTTTGGGGTTGAGTTTGGGCCGCAGGGGAGCCCCTGGCTTCAGCTTGGCCTTGGGGAACTGGGACAGGTAGGTCATGACAGAATGCTCATCCACATTAGGGTCCACAATCTCCTCGGGGGTGATCACCTGTCAGGGGCAGAACTCAGTGACTGCCAGAGCTCTAGGCCAACACGCACCCCGGTGCCCTGGGGAGACCAGGAAGAGCCGTACCTGGGGGATGCCCAGCCAGTCATCTGCCTGCTGCATAGCCTCCCGTGCATTGTTCACAGGCTTGCTAGCATCCCAGGAGTCCCAGTCAGGACACAGGCCTGTGACACGGGAAAGGTGGTGCTGTGAGCATGTCCATGGCCCCCACAGTCAGCACCTGCAGATGTCACCCACCCCTGTGCTCCTCACCTGGGGCACAGCTATCAACCAGAGCACCCAGGGCACGGCCGCTCTGCCAGTCCCGACTGAAGTTGGTGATGGGCAACTGGGGCAGCTTGTTCTGGATCCAGCCTAGAAGCCTCTGCTTTGGGGTCTGCTTTTTGGCCTCCTCATCCTCCTCTTCATCCCACATGGGCATGGAGATGGAGTAGTGCAGGATCAGCGTCCAGATAAGGCCCAAGATCAGCTTCAGGTTCCCATCCACAATGGCTTTGCTGTCTATGGGGCAAAACAGGCCTTGGTGGGGGGCGCCTGCAGCTGGGGTCTGGCAGGCTAGGGAGCTTCCAAAAGGGACAGGACCTTCTGGCTAGGAGGCTACAGAGAGGGTGCGGGCCACAGGCCTCGTGTGTGGTCAAGGGAATGTAGCAACCCAAAGGGGAAAGGGGACACCAGTAGACACAAGATGACAACATGGCACAGTAAAGGGACAACAGGAAACACCGGTGAGGCAGTGCTGTGAGCTTCATTGGTGAGAACCCACATATACCCAATCCAAGGCTCCCTGGAAATCAGCAGCCCAGCCCCAGCCAACCTAGAACCCAGGGCGCGACCTCAAGGCTGGGGACGAGGAAGAGGAAGGACGGATTGGCAAAGATCAGTTGGGAAATGCAACTGCTGTGCCAGGGAGGGTGGGAGGTATGAGCGAGGGGAAGTAGAGGCATTGGGCAAGGACCCTTGGGGAAGGGGTGTGAGCCACACCCCTCCCCACTTCCTTGCCTATGGTCAGGGTGACAGCAGGATCGGGGCTGTTGCGGGGTAGCACCCAGCAGCGGGCTGCATAGTCCTGACTCAGGAGGGCCCGGAGAGAAGCACTGGGGTGGTGGCGGGGCAGGAAACACTGTGGGGCCTCTGTGCCAACTGGAGGGGCAGGGTGGGGCCGGCTGAGCTGGGGCTTGTGCCCAGGGTCCCTTTGGGAACTTGGGGGGCATGGTCCTGGGCGGGGTCCCTCTGTACTGCTGCCTCTGCAGAACCCCCACTCAGCTGCTGCCTGTCACCCATCCTACTTGCCATCTAACGGGCTCAACAGCCTCAGGTGGCTGCCAGGCTTCCCACAGGGGAAGTGGTTAGGGCGGGCACCCTACACCCCCATCCCCATGACAACAGTTCTATGCCACACCCAAAGCCACCTCTGGGCCTGTCTTCTAGAGAATAAGTGGCTTGGGTGGGGCAGGCTCTCAAAAAAGAGCTCATCTGGTGGAACCCTGCTGGGCTCCCCTGTAATCAGAGAATACTTGTCGAGTGAGTCAACAGGTGGGGGGCACATCAAGGAGGCACAGGCGCCATCAGAAGGGTCCCGTGGCAGGTGGCCTTCCTGTTCAGCAGGCAGCACCTGGAGGGCCAGACAGGCCACCAGGAGCAGAGGAGCCTGCCCTGTTCCCAAACAAGTTGGTCCCAGCCCCTCACAGTGGCCTCTTGAGGCCCGGGAGCGAGATTCTGAAGACAAAGGGCCGCTGAGGCTTCCCATCAGGCCCTGCTTGGGGTCCCAGGTCCAGTGTGAGAGCCATCCTGACCTCCAAGGGGTCAATAGGGCCAGGTCCACGAGCCCTGTGGGTAGGGCTGGGACCTCCTCTAGTCGGCATCAGGGAGACCCCTGCCAGCCTCATCCCCCTCCTCAAAGGGAGGGCAGCACCAGGGCCCAGGCAGGGAGGCTGCCCTGCATGATGGCCCCGCCCCCTCCCACCCCTTTCCCCAGCCCCTGGGTCAGTCAGCCCCCTCCCTTCCCTAATCACTGCTGCTTTCCAACATTTTTTTGCCTTATATGGCAAAGCTCTGGGAACCAGGCCTGCTCCAGCCAGCTCACTAGAAGGAGGGGAGAAGGGAGAAGGAAGGAGGGAGGAGACCCCCCCAAGAGCTGGGGTGTGGCTTGTCTCCCCACATCCGGTTGCCCCCGCCCCAGCACTCAGTAGTGACTCAGCTTGGCTAGACTGAGGCTGGGACTGGGGGTGACATTCCAAAGAAAGAACTTGGCTTCTGGGACCTGCCTTCCCCCAGGGATAGAGCAGGAGTCTTGGAACCTCAATTTTCTAGGCTCAACAAGCACCATTCCAAGGCCATAAAGATGGAAGAAAAAAAGTGCGTCAACCTTGCGTTGTATTTCACATCTCCCCAAAGCACCGATCCCATTGCCTGTCCCTGAGCTCTCTTGTCTCGACAAAGGCATAGGATGCTCCACTAGGCCTGGGCAATGCCAGCCTCTACAGCCCAGTGATGAGGACACCAGGCTGGCAGTGAGCTCAGTGCACTCTGGGGCACCTTTCTTGATGCACACAACCTCAAGCGAGTATGACCCACAAGAAAAAGGAAAGCCGGTTTCCAAACTGATCAAAATCCAGGTGCCTTTGCTCGACCACACCCAACTCATGTAGGGTGCAGTTTTAGGAGTCCGGGTTCTCCACCCCCCAGCTGCCCTGAGGTCTTAACTGGGGACTGGAACCATTTGCAATGGGGAAACTCATCTTCTAGGACAGAAACCAAAGCGCCCTAGACAATGGGACCTCCACGAGCTCCAACTCCCCCTTCAGAGGCGCAGATGCCACAGGGTTCCCTTGGAGCCCAAGTGCCACAGCGGCAGAGCCCGTACCTCCCTGTGTTTGGGGAAGGGACACGGCGATCAAGGCCCAGAGCCCAGGCAGTACCCGCCCGTCGCCCGGGCCCTCCGAGGCTGTAGCGGTGGGGGCGCGGCCCGTGCAGGATGTGAGCTCAGCCTGGGCCCAGGCCAGCAGGGCACGTAGCGGTTCACACGCTCTGCCGGTCAGCTGCGCGCCTTTGTTCTCGGACCGGCGCGCAGCCTGGCGGCCTGGGGCCCTGGGGGCCATGCAACGGCGGGAAGGGACTCCCAGAAGGGTCGCCCGCGGGAAGACGGGAGATCGAGCGCACCCCCACCCCGGGACATCCGCGCCCTCACCGATCGACACAAGCTTGATGCTCTCGCGGTCCAGGAACTCGAGCGCCACCGACACATTTTCGAGCTGCATCTGGCGGAAAGTGGGCCTCTGGTTGTGCTTGCGGTGCATCTTCTTCTGACTCAGCACCTCCAGCAGCGCGATGAGCCGCAACCCATCGCTCAGGTCCGTCTGCAGGTTGGCGATGCGCTTGCTCACGCATTTCAGGTGCTCGTTGCACCACCGCGTGAATGTGTTCTGCTGGATCTTCTTCCACGGCGCGTCCTCCGCCAAGTCCTTCTCGGTGGCCGGCATCTCGGCGTCACGCGCGTCAGTACCGCCGCCCGGAGCCGCGCCCGCCGCGCTCTGGCCGGACCGCGAGTGGAAGCTACTCATTTTGAGGCGCGAGGATCCGGAGGGGCGGTGCTGTAGCCTCGGCGAGGGGACGGCCCTTTAATTAAAGATGCAGGCACTGAAGTGCGCGAGAGACGAAGCAGAGAACAGAGGTTGCGCTGCGGAGAGAATGAGCGAGCCCTTTAAATGGGGGCGAAAGGCGGAGCCAAAGGCGGGGCTCTTGCGGGGCGGGGCCGACCCCACCCCGCCCGTTGGAATGCCGCGCGAAGCCCCCTTACTCTGCCCCCAAGCTCCGACTGATAAGAACTGTCTCCTGACTCCTGGTCCTCCGCCCCAAGGGGCTGGCTGGAGAGGAAGAGAGGTGCTTCGGCCCCATAGCGTCTGCGCCAGCGCTGTAGGAAACTCACCCGGGAGCCTGGAAAGGCTGAGCAGTGTCTGGCGCAAGACTGCTGGCCTCCAGCCGGCACGCCCTTACAAGGGACTTTTTCCCCGAGGCCCCTGCGTGGGGTGGGGCGGATGGGGTCCCTGAATCACTTAGGCTCCGCCCCATCCCTTTACCCTCCAGCGCCGACACCTCCCTACCCCGGGATCTGGAGCTAGTTCTTGGCCGCACGCAGGCGGGCAGCGGTGGCAGGGGTCCAGTCCCATCATGCTGCACCAGGACAGCCGCTGTCGCCCATCCCCGACCCCTCGCGGCCCCCCGCTGCCTTCGTGGCCCACTCCACCCTCGCTGCGCACCTGCGCCCGCCGGCTCCTCCACCCTGCGGCCTCGCTGCCCCCGGGAGGAAATGGGGCACTGGGGGAGGGGGGGACGAGCGCACAGGAGCCACCGCCACAGGCCCGGCGCGCCCTGTGCTCTGTGTGGGCAGACGGCCGTGCCGCCCTGCCCAGTGCCGTCTGCGGGCCCAAACTCAGGAAGCTTCCTCTCCCTCTCCTGGGGAGTGGCTCCGAACGGAGGGACCCAGATGGTGGCTGGGCAGGGTGCAGAGAGCAGTGGCCTTCGAGACCCAGAGAAGCCTGCCCTGCTCAGGGGTCTCCATAAGGTTTGGCACGCTCTGAGCACCTGGGTGGAGGGGTTCACGTTTAGTGTCAGGTATAGAAGGAGCTTGGGGAGAGGGGACCAGGGGACTAAGGTAGAGAAAGGAGCCGCTTAGGAACTTGGGCTCTGTCCGCAGAATAGTGGGAAGCTCTTCATAGAAATGTAATTTTCTGAAGATAGTTCTGGATCTAAGGTGGAGACACATAAGGGCAAGGGACTGTGGGGAACACTCATGCCACCTTTTTTTAGTCCCCGGAGAAGTAAGCCTGCCTATGGCTCTGTCTCCAGATTGGACACCCTCCAACCCTTACCTCTGGGCTGATTTCTAGAATGTTCTCTTCTCTGTCTTTTCTCCACCAAGGCAGGTCTCTGTCCCTATTGCTCCATTCTAGTGCTAATTAATCTACTTTCCGAAGTTAATCTACTTTCCAAAGATCAGCAGAAGGCCGGGTATTTAGCTCAGTGGCATAAGCACCTGCCTGGCAAGCGCAAGGTTGTGAGTTCAATCTCCGGTACCGCAAAAAAAAAAAAAAAAAAAAAAAATCAGCCGAGGACCCCAGGTTAGCCAGAATGTCATGCCCAAATATGGGTGTGTCTGCCCCCCCCCTTGTGCACTGCTCATGGTTCCAGAGGCATCTCTCTCCCTAGTCCCAGTGCACTGTGGCACTTTCTGTACCAAAACCTACCATCTCTACCTGCTTTCCCTCTGTCCCATCCACCTTCATACACACCTGCACAAAGTGCACCCTAGTATGAGAGTGGTGAGGTGACAGGGAGCACTCTAGGGGAACAGGCTTGGAATTGTCCTTCTATTTTGCCTGCTCCAATGGAAAGCAAGTTACCAGGAATGGCATTGGATCCAGAACTGATTCTCCACTAAGTGCCATCCCAGCTGGGTCATCTAGGTTCATCCCTTAATCTTCAGAGAACAAGGACACTGAGTCACAGTAACTGAGCAGTAGTCAACTGCAGCAGAGCGGATGGCACCTGGTTGTCCTGGATTCTGGCCCTAGCTTTGGCTCTTTAAGGGAAAGAGGAAATAGGAACCTGGAGGGTTCTTATCCCTAGGACATAGCACTGCCACCAGATGTCGCCCCAGTCCCAAACCCCTGGATTGAGCAGCCCTGGGAAGCCAAAATCCAGTTCTTTCATATTTTCCCTTATTTGGAGTAGATTCTTAGATGCTGGACACACCCCACCCACCGCCCCACCCCCAGACCCCAGGCCAGGCTGTCCCATGGGGAGCTGAGACCCCAGGCTGGGAGCTCCAAGGAGCCTTTGGCAGGCCTGTGCAGCCAAGGGGTCCTGGGAGGGGAGGACAGGTGTAACAGGCCAAGGTGTCCATTTTCTGAGCACCCACCTTGCCATGCATCCTGCAGCACACATAAATGGGCTGGCAGGGGGTTCCACCAACTTCTCTGGCCCTGAGTGGCAGCGGGGCATCCAGGGCTGCTGCTGCCTTACATTCCAGCTGGCAGTGAACATCAGTCTCAGAACCAACCTGGGACAGGGTTCAGGGCCACAGGCGCAGGGCCTAGCCAGGAAATTCAGCCTGGCCACACCCCTGCCACAGCTCCCACGGGGTGCAGCAGCCCCTAACTGGATGCCCTGTGCCCAAGCAGCTGGCATCCTGTGGACTTGCAACAGCAAGTGACTCCCTGTGTCACCAAAATGTCCTTCCAGGTGATAATTGACGGTCATCCCACACAATGCCGCTGGTTTATGCAGGCATGCGAGTGTCCCATCATTCATGGGCACCGACACTGGCACTCATCTCTTGCCAGTCGCTGATACCTTCCCCTCTATCAGGATTCTAAGGGCAGGGGCTCCCAGAGTAGTGACAAGGATTTGGGGTCCTAAGCAAGCTCTGGAAAGAGGCAGCCGAGGGAGCCCCTCCCAGAGGGTCCTACCTGGCTAGAACCTGGGGGGCCGCATAGCAGCATCCTCCTGCCTCTCTGCCCCTTTCACCATCTAGGTTCCCAGCCCGCGAGCGGCGTGGCGACTCTGCGAGGAGCCAGCCTCGGCGGCCTCACCTGCTGTCCCTGCGGGCGGCAGCAACCGCGCGGTGGCGCCTGCTCGCCTTCGCGCCTCGCTCGCGCCCGGGCTCTGCTGCGTCTGCCGCGCCGCGCGCCTCCACGCGAATGGGTCGCCGCGCTTGCCTTCTTGTTGGCCGCATCCCCGCCCCGCGCCCGCCCCGCGCCCTGCCCGGCCCGGCCCGGCTAGAAAGCCTTAATTGGTAATATCGCCCGGGAGCCGGGGGGCGCGGGGGAGGGGGTGCGGGGGCGCCCAGGCTGCCAGGGCGACGCCGCCCCTGGGATGAGCTCAGCACTCCACAAGGCCGCAGGCTCGGGTGGGGGGCGGTCAGCGCCTTGGGGTCCCTGAGGCCACGTTTAGGCGACCTCGAGGACACACAATGGCCTTCCCTGGTTTTACAGCCCGGGCTTCAAGGCCACCTTCTCCACGGAGTCATCCGTCATAACCTGCCCCTATCCTAAGCCCAGCCTGGCCATGCTGTGCTCAGCCCCCAGGCAGGGGCAACATTTGCTGGTGCCTAACGGTGGACAAACCTCCAGGCTGTGAGGATGAGGCCCTTGAGGACAACTAGTGTGGCCTCAAACTCTGGGGTGTGCAGTGGGGCACAGCCACACCCAGGCATTGGCGGGCTCCCTCTTCCACATGCCCATTTCCTGGTAGCTTCAGATTTGGCTCAGATGCCACTTCCTCTGGGGAGGCCACACACAGTAGCAGCATTTTATAACATTCATGAGAAGCCCCCATAGGAGCTACATTTTACATCCTGAGCCAGTATCTCACAGATGCGCGCGCATCTCACAGAATGACACTGCCTTACCCTGGTATTTTCTAAAAAGAGAGCAAGGTGCCGTGGTATACCGCTTTCATCCGAGCTCAGGAGGCTGGGGCAGGATCACCACTAGTTTGAGGTCACTCTGGACTATGCAATGAGACCCTGTCTCCAAAAAAGTAAGGGAGAGGGAAAAGAACAAAGAGAGGAAGGAAAAGGAAATAGAATAGGGAGGAAAGCTAGGAACTTGGTGACAGCAAGTGAATGCGTTTGGTCACAACGGTTTAACACAAAGAGCAAGGTGTCTAGCTCTGCTGCACTGGGGCTCATGGCTGAGGCGGTCAAGCCAGGGGGAGACTAAGTTGGGGAGCACAGAAGAAGGCATGGCTGTGTGGCTGAGACCTAGGCCCCATTGCATTTAAATTCTACACACAAGTGCCACCCACTGTGCATACTCTGAACACAGGCCATTGTATGCCCCAACTTGTGCCAGCTCTAGTGAGAAGGTAGGTTTCTGTTGCACCAACTGTTCCCTGCCGAAGATCTTAATAAAGACATCTTTTACTTGTGTTGAATAAGTGCCTTTCTTCCTTTCTAGAAGGGTCTTGCTATGTAGCTGAAGCTGGCCTTCAACTTGAACCCACTGTGTAGCCCAGGCTGGCCTTGAACTCAGTAACCTTCCTGCCTCAGCCTGAGGGCTGTGATGACAGGTGTGTACCACCAAGGCAGCAAGAAGTATCTTCATGTAGACTTTCCCCTTTCTATTCAGTCTTGCTTGGATTGCAAGTTCTACAATATGCAGCTTAGAAGTCACTGCCACCCGTAAGACTCACTTTTCTTATTCTCAACTTAGTTGGCCACTCCCGGGTTCTTTCACCCTGACTGCACCTATTCTGCTTGCCCTTCTGAGGAGGAACTACCCAGAGGACCCCAGAATGCCCACTCGGGTTGGGGGCTCCCCTGAGAGGTCTCTGTGCTGAGAAGAATGGGTGCTGGCTGAGTGGCGTTTCCCGAGAGCTGGCTCCCCTCTGGGTGATGCTGGGGTGGTCTCAGGCTTGGTGGGCAGGGGCTGCTCTGGCTTCTGGTCCAGCATGAAGCTGTCCTGCCATGGGACTAGACTGAGGCTTTGGGTGCCATGAGGTGGACACATGAGGCCACCACTATTGTTTCATAGTGCCATCGAGGGACCATGCTGTGGCCAATGGGGAGGGGGACCCATGAGGCAGAGGCCGAGGCAGGTGTGTATGGGCGCTCCCTTGGGAAAAGGCAGGCCTAGAATTCCTTGACCTCATAAGGAAAAGGCTGGGATGTGTATGGGGAGGGGTGCCACGCGCACTCCACACACACAGGCCTCTGGGAGTGGGGCCAGCTTGCAGAAGGGGGTGTGGAGAGGTGCTGGGGCGCTGGATTCTGCCCAAACTGAAAAGTCCATGAGGCAACTGCCCATGGCCTGGAGCTTACAGTCATCCCCCTGCCATACAATGTCTTCGAAGCTGCATGCCTCCTTGCTGGTTGCTAAGGACATGGCAGGATGTTGTCTTTAAAACCCAACCAAGTGGGTGTGGCACATGCTCATCATCCCAGCACTGGGGAGGCTGAGGCAGGAGGGAGGATCACCCAGAGTTCCAGCCAGCCTTAACTACATAGTGAGACCCTGTCTCAAAACGCCCACCCCCCAAAATTCAAGTAAATAATAAATAAAACTTAGCCAACAGCAACTCTCCCTCATTAGGGTCTTTGTGTGTGGTGAAAACAGCCCTGTTTCCTCACCATTGCCTGAGTGTCACCTTGTCAAAGTATAGTGAAAATTGGTGTGACCCTTAGCAGCAGCGTCAGCCAGCCTGGAAGGGCCTAAAGTGCTTGTCTCTTCTTTAACATCAGCAGGCACACCAGGCTCTGGTCTCTACATGCTTCCCCTCAGCTCTGGGCCTGCCCCATAGGCCACCAGCTGGCTTTGCTCAGGATAGCACCGCGCTGAGAAAGACCATCTTTTTCCCATCGCGATCCTTGGCGACCATTAACAACACTTGAGGATCCTGAGCAAAGCTGGACAACTTCCCACAGTCTGCCACCGCCCTCTGCGCCCTGCCCGCCCACCATCTGGGTCCCTCGGCTCAGAGCCACTCCCCGGGAGAAGAAGCTTCCAGAGGCTGGGACCGCACTCCGGCTCAGGGGCCCGCAGATGGCGCTGGGCAGGGCGGCAAGGCCGTCTGCCCGCACATAGCACAGGGCACGCCGGGCCTGTGGCGGTGGCAGTGGTGGTGGAGAATGTGCCCTCGGTCCCTGGAGTGCTCCATTTCCTCCTGGGGGCAGCGAGGCCGCAGGGCAGGAGAGCCGGCGGGCGCAGGTGCGCTGCGAGGGTAGAGCGAGCTGGGAAGGCAGCGGGGGGGGGGGGGACCACGAGGGGTTCGAGGATGGGCGACAGCCGCTGTCCTGGTGCAGCGCGCTGGGACCGGGTCCTGGCCACCGCTCCTCGCCTGGGTGCGGCCGGGAACTAGCTCTGGACCCCAAACCGGACAGGGAAACGGTGAAGCCCATTGGGACAGGCATTCGAACCGCCCCACTACTCGGCGCCACCTGCCCCCTCCACCACCACCAGCCAGTTTCCGCAGTCCAATTGCTCTGTACCGCCTGCCTCCCGCGCATAGTCCTGACTTGCCCGCGAGAGCCGGCCCCGCCCTTCGGCTCCGCCCTCCGGCCCCGCCCTCCGGCTCCGCCTTCCGGCCCTGCCGGCTCCCACGCCCGGATCCCTTGGCATCGTCTCAGCTTCCTGAAAGCCCCGCCTCTTTCTGAGTCTGGCCAATCCCGCATGATTGTGATGGACAGGCTTTCTGGCCCCGCCTCCTACGTGACTTGCCCCACCCACTCCAATGTCCAGACTAACCTGGTCTCGCTGCTCCCGCGGGTTGGCTCCGCCCCGCGCAGCGCGCGCAGCCTGTGGAGCCCGCGGCTGTGACGCAAGCGAGACGCAGCCGTGACGCGTGAGCGCGACCGCTCCCTCTGCGCTGGCTCTACCTCAGCTGCGCTCCAAGACAGCGGTTTCTTGCGAGGCCCAGGCCGCCCCCAGGCCTTCGCCGCCCGCCTCCCGGTGCCCACCATGGACGACTACTCGCTTCTGTCTGACACCGAGCTGGCCGCGGTGCTGCGCCAGTACAACATCCCGCACGGGCCTGTCGTGGGTATGCGGTGGCGGGTGGTGCGCGTGGCGTCCCCCGTCCCGCTCCGCCCCACTGACCGCCCCGTGTCCCGTGTCTGCAGGCTCTACGCGCAAGCTCTACGAGAAGAAGATCTTCGAGTACGAGAGCCAACGGCGGAGGCTGTCGCCCCCGGACTCTTCCGCCTCCTCCTACAGGTTCTCAGGTGGGGCCCCGCCCCACCCCGCCGCGTAGCGCAGCGCTACTCGCCACCGCCACCGCTACCACCACCCGGGGGCGCGGGGAAGACAGGCCGTGGGGCGGGGCAGGGTGGGGGTAGAAGGCTGGGAAGCCCAAGGCCAGCTGCTTCTGTCCTCTTCTCAATTCAGACTTGGACTCGACATCATCGGGCTCAGACATGTACGATCTGCCCAAGAAGGAGGACGCCCTGCTTTACCAGAGCAAGGGTAAGCGCGGGGCGGGGCTGTCCCTGAGTCCCAGCAGACCCCCATTGTTTAGTGGCCCTGCTAGTGTCCACCTTAGAGCCATGGGACCACGTGAGGAACACTCGTGTCTTTGTCCCTGTCTCCTCTAAGGCTACAACGATGACTATTACGAGAGTTACGTGAGCACCAGAACTTACGGGGAGCCAGAGGCCAAGGGCTTCCGCCAGCCAGCCATGGCCCTCTCTGATCCAGACACCTTCCATCAGCAGGTGAGCAGGTTTGGTCACACTTTGGGTGTGGCCTCGATGTCAGGAGTGGCTGCTGAGAGTGCACAGTGGTGCCTAAGCCTTCAGAGGTGGGAAAAGCATAGCTCTTTTCCTGAAGCCTGCCTTGGGGGAGATCAAAACTATTTGATTAGGTCCTAGATGTGTAACTTAATGGTAGAGCACTTGCCTGGAGGTTGGTGCCTAGGATCCCCCCTGCAAAAACTTGATGAGAAGCTGGGTGTGGTAGTACATGTCCATAACCCTAGTACCGAGGAGGCTGAGGCAGGAGGATCCCGGAGAGTAAGAAAAGGACCAAGGGTATAGCTCACCAGTACACCACCTGCCTGGCAAATTCGAGGTCCTAAATTTGATTCCCAATACTGGATAAAAAAGGTAAAAAATGTGATGAGAGCACACAGGGCGAGGCCTGTCCCCTGCCTGGCACCTGGACTCCTGTTGTTTCTGAGAATCCTGGAGGAGGAATGAGGGTGGTGGGCATGGGCAGCTGGGCAAGTCACGGAGAAAGTGCCAAGGCCCCAAAGACAACTGGCTGGGAACCTGGCACAGTTCTAGGGAGTGGGGCAGGTGTTGATCTTCCAGCTGGGTCAGCACAGACCTGCAGGACTTTTGGTCTGGGGTGGGACAGGGCCGTCGCTGCTCCCCAGCACCTGAGGCAGCTCTCATGCAGGTGCGTGAGGACAGCATCTTCTCTGAAGAGGACAGCAGGGACAGGTGAGCGGTGCACAGGCCTGGGGCTGGGGCAGGCCTGGGGCTCAGCACCTGGGCCCACCTGCCCCCTTGTTTAGCCACAGGGAGCACCCCGTCTATGGCCGGGACAGCAGCTACCAGAGCATTGCGCACTACCGCCCTGCCTCCAGTGTCTCCAGAAGCTCCCTGGGTCTGTCCTACTACCCAGCATCTCTCACCTCATCCTCCACTCAGCCTTCCTGGCTTACCCGCCGGGCTATACGGCCTGAGAAGCCAGGTTCAGTGGCCGCGGCAGCAGCCCAGGAGCGCCAGGTCCCGCTCTGGGGCCAGCTGCTGCTCTTTCTAGTGTTTGCTGCCTTCCTGCTCTTTGTTTACTACTCTATGCAGGCTGAGGAAGGCAGCCCCTTTTGGATGGACCCCTGATGGTCCTGCCGAGCCCAGCTGGCTGCTTTTGCAGCATTCTGGGGGGCGGGGGGCATCGCTTTGTGTTCTAGTGTGGGGTGCTGGGCTCGCCCAGGGCAGTGCCCACCCCAACTGCCCCTGTCCTCCTCGGGAGCCTCCTGGTCCTGCTCACCTCTGAGCCTTGGAACTGGGCTGAGACCTTGTCCTTCCAAGGAGAATGTGGTTGTTCTGCATGCCACCTCTTGTTCATTGTTACTTGTCATGATCAAGCAAAGGGTATCCTGACACTTTTCATGGACACACAATAAAAGACTGTTTATTTTTACCCTGGTGGCACAGGTCTCTGGGTCCTGCATCTCCAGGACCACTGTGTGGCTCCTACCTGTTTAGGTCTGCATTTTGTTTTGGTCTTGGGAGGAGTAAATGCTACCCATAGATACGGATGCATTTCATTTGTAGGCTTTAGTTCGTGACTTATTTTCCAAAGCACTTGTGACTGTTCACAGACATGACTACCATATGACAAAGCATGTGGATAGCCAACTTGGGACATGGGTAAGACTGCATGGACAGTGTCAGTCACAGGTATCTTTACCACGGAGCTGACACCAGCCAGCTTCATGGTGGAAGGCACAGGGATGGATGGCAAATGGCTTGCCAGGTGCTGGGTTATGCTTCTGTAATCCCAGCACTCCCTAGAGGCTGAGGCAGGAGCACTGCAAGTTTCAGCCCAACCTGGGCACCTTAGCAATTTTAGTAAGACTGTGTCTCCAAATGTGAAAAAAGAACTGTGGGCCAGGTGTGGTAGCCCATGCCTCTCAGCCCAGCACTCAGCAGCCTGAGGCAGGAAAGTCGCTGAGTCGGAGGCCAGCCTCTGAGTTCATGGCCAGTTTGAAGTACATGCTGAGACTCTGTCTCTGAAAAACAACAAAACTGAGGCATTCTGGTGATGGGTCACTGCATGGGGGCAGGTGGGAAGCAGTGCTGGAGCCAGGGTTGGGCCTGGTTTAGTCCCCTAGCCTGTGACCACCTCCTCGATGCAAGTGGTCGGCCCAGCCTCATGCAGCACCTGCAGAGGAGGCCTGTGCTCCTGAGGAGCAATCTGGGCTCTTGGCTGTCCCAGACCTTCCAGACCTGTCCTTGTCTCCCCACCGTGCTTCCGATCCACAAGTACCTCAATCCTGACCCCCTGGAACCTGCTGCACAGAGCCCAGGCCCCACCTTTGCCTTCCCTGCCACCCCAGGCCACACATGACAGACCCAGGCCACACTTAAGGGACTGAGGTCTGCCTGGTCCTCCAGGAGGCGTGGATCTTGGCAGGTGCCAATGTGCCTGTGTGTTGGGTACGTGAACAAGCAGGCTGGTCCTCGTAAGTAATCTTTTTTGCTCTTTTTTTTTTTTTAACTTTTTATCGGTACCAGGGATTGAACTCACAACCACCTGCTTGCAAGGCAGGTGCTTATGCCGCTGAGCTAAATCCCCAGCCCCCTTCATAAGTATCTTAAGGGGGATTCAGTGACAGCCCCACTGCTTAGAAGTACAAATACCCTGAGAGGCGGGACTATTGTCATTGTGGGTGGCTGGGGGATGGGCCCGTGTGCACCAGCACAGAAACGGGCCCTGGCAGAAGCCCTGTTGGCCAGGGGAGCCACCCCAAGGGTAGGCATAGGCTACCAGCTTCCAGACCAAATGAAATGACCCCAGGTCTCAGTAACTGGATCTGCCACCCGAGGAGAGGTCACTGCAGAAGACGGGGGGTGTGTAGCAGCCACTCTGCTGTGTGGCAGGAAAGAAGTGAGCAGGCCACCTAGGGGGCAGAGTGTCCATCCTCATCTGTTCACTACACAAGGAACTCAGGTCTTCCTGGCCAGAGAACAGACAGAAGACAGTAGAGGTTTTGCCAGGCTGCACTGACTGTCTCCCTAAGCATTGGGGCCTGAGGCCTGCACTGACCCTGGTTCACTAGGGATCTCTAGGGTGCTCAAATTGCTATTGCCCCCACTCCCCAGGGCTCCGGAGCCCTCTAGGGTCTCCAAGTGCTCAGTCACAGGGGCCCTAAGGGGAGGGAGAGGCCAGCAAGACTCCTGAGGTCTGATGGGCCTGGAGGCTTCTGCTGTCCCTGGGAGCTCTGGGACTCTCAGTTGTGGATCTCCCCACCACCCCGCCACTAGCTGCCATGTCCCAGTAAGACAGTGCCAAATACTTTCCCTGTCACTGAAACCTCACCCTCCATTCCCAAAGGGTGACCCAAGGGGTCACGAAGCATGCTGGCTGCTACACTGGGTTTCACTGAGCCAGGGTTTTGGGACAAGACTCAAAAAGAGAACAAGAAGCAGCCTTGGAACATTCCACAGTTTTGTCTGAGGTACAAAGGGCTTTATACAAGCTCCTAATGATGGCCTGTGACGGGGACACAACCATGCCTGGCACCTGCTGCCACCTCACCAGGCAGGGTCCTGGAGCGGTTGCAGCCCAGGAAGAGTCCCTGACTCCTCTCCCATGTCACCAGGGGTCAAGGGCACACCTGGGGCAGCAGTGGCCAGGACAGAGTCCACCACAGGAGAAGAGGGACAGGCCCTGGAGACACCTGGAGAGAGGCAACAGGCCACTCGGCCCAAGCTATGCTGGCACAGGGGTGTCAGGACCAGGGCTGTCGGGAACAGGCCCTTCCCAGTCTGGACACGACTTCCCCACCCAGTCTGAGCAGGATGCCACAGGCTGGTGGACTGCGGGTGGAGGAAGGCCAGAAAGGTGGGCATTCAGGGACTGGGGGCAGGGGCTGGGCACAGGGTCCCAGCTGAGCGCTGCTCAGCCCTCAGCAGGCAGCCACAGCCTTGCCCACAGTGTCTTTCACTTCCCAGCAGCTCTGTCCCCCAGGAACCCTGGCAGGGGACAGGTTCCCCACAGCAGACCTGCAGGCTCTTCCGCAGCAGTGAAGACAGGCAGCAAGGCCCAGGTCCCGAGTGCCACGCCCTCCTACCAGACCAGTGTGTGCCCTTTCTTGACAGGACACCCGGGGCAGGAGACACACAGGCAGGACCCTGAAACCACAGAGGTGGATGATCCAAAGAAGGCAGCACTCGAGTGGGTGGCACCTCGGAAGCAGGGATGTCCCCAGCCAGGTCCCCTCCCCTGCACACCCCAGGTGGCTCTGGGTAGAAAGGGGCCGGCCGGCCTAGGTGGCCCCTAGCAGAGGGCATGCTGGGGCAACTCCTGGCACCCTAGGTCCGGGTCCCTGGTCACAGCCCTGGGAGCAGCAGCCCTGGGAGGCGGGAGGCAGGAGGAGGGCAGCTGCTCAGTGAGGGCGGTGCAGGGTGAGGACCACGCCTTTCTGCAGAGGACTACAGGTGCCAGGCAGCTGGGAGGGGTCCCCTGAGACCATCTAGGGCGGAGGAAGCGGCCCTGTCCCTTACCTCACCCAGATCCCCAGGGACAGGAAAGGCAGGCGACATGGCCGTGTGGATATGGGGGGGGGGGCGGCATCGAGGACATGTGGAGGACACATGGGTTCTCCCGGGATCCGGGAGTGTGGTACATACTGAGCTTGAGCGTGTCTTGAGGAGCCAGGACGCTCGGGCTGACACCCTGGCCGAGGGACCATCCCTGCCACGTGAGGTGCAGGTACTCCCCATTGGAGAGGGGAAGGTGCAGGTACTCCCCACCCCCTTGGAGATGTGCAAAGTGGGGTGGGGGAGTGGCCGGGAGCTGTCACCAGGGGCCAGGCATTGCCCAGGGGTGACGGCCAACAGGAACCTTCACGAGCCACTCCGAGCCACCCAGAGCGTCACCCTTGGGATGTCCCCTGCCAGGGAGCAGCGGGCAGGAAGGAGGCAGCTGTCACCGGGAAAGGTGGCAGAGAGGGCCTTTGGTCCCAGAGGGGGGTCCTGTCCTGTGCCCCCTTGACCTGGCCTCCCCACACCCGAGACCCCAAGGGTCCCATGCCGAGACAGTCCAGTCTAAGTCCAAGAGCCTGCCAGCACCCTGCCAGGACAGAGGGGCATAGGTGCAGAGGGGCAGAGGGGCTGGGTGGCTCAGCCAGGAGGGCAGGGCCGGCCTCACACCCCTGGGTGGGCATGCCCTTCCCCCTCCATCTAGGTGAATGTGGATGCCAGGCCTGGTGGGAGGGAGCGGAGGTGGCCCCAGCTGGGGCACAGAGGCCCGGGCCTTCTTGTGAGGGAGGGAGTGGGCACTGGTCAGAGGCAGCTCATGGCCTGGCTGCCTCGGTGGGGACTCCCACTGAGCCGAGCTGGACTGAGCCTACCACAAAGGGTTCCCTGCCCCTGATGCCAGGCCTGCAGGACTGGGACTAGGCCACCAGGGTATTGTCAAATACCCTCCTGGGAAGGGCCAGGGGAGCCCAGCAGGTGTGGGTCACACCCAGACTGGGCACTGTCACGTTTTGCTGGGACCCTTAGAGGCCGCAGAGCTACCCTCTGCCCCTCTCAAAGAGACCAGGCTGTCGGGGCTCAAGGGACACAGCCTGCCACCTGGTGGCGGGTACACAGAGGAAGCAGACTTGAGCTGGCCCTGCTGGGACCCGCAGGATAGGGCAGGTCCCCCACAAACAGGCCTGCTCGTGACTGGAGGGAGGGGCAGGCGGGGACCCAGATTCCCCCCACTGCAGCTCTCACTGGATGGCAGGGAAGCAGGGCAGCGCCGTGCCCTCACCAAGGAGGGCTGTGGGGTGTGGGGGCGCTGGGGAGTCCCTGGGGTGCTCTAGGCTGCGTGCTGCTCCCTGGCACTGGCGCCCCTGCGGAGGACTCCTGCCCTGCACAGCCCAGGGACAGGAGGAGTCACCTCCGGCCCCGCGCCTCTACGGGACACCCAGGAGAGAACTTGAGCCTTGGCCTGGCCCTGCGTGTCCTCCTGTGCCTGTCCCCAGGAGAGGCGCAGAGCAGGAGGGAGCGGGCACAGCAGTGTCTGTGGGGACACGGCCACAGCTGTGCCCCAGGCAAGGAGGTTCCAGCCTGGACTTTCTGACCCTGCTGGGACCCAGAGCTGAGAATCAACCCAGAGAATCAAAACTCCCAAACCTCAAGGGCAAGGGACCGAGACAGCCAGCAGGGCGATGCCACCAAGGGCTCCTCTGGTTGCCAAATGGACAGGAGCCCCGGCCCTGCTGGCAGAGGGTAGACACTTCCTTCTCCCTGGAGCCTGGGGAGAGTCCATCCTCAGGCTAGGGTCTACCGGAACCCGGGCGCGGCGGGAGGGGCGGAGACAGCCGAGCCGACCCGGGGCGTGGCCCGACCAGGGTCCCCACGCGAGTGGCCTGCCGGACGGTGGCGGCACCCTCCTCCGCACGTCCGCGCCCCAGTCTCCCTGGG